CCCCAAACCGCGTGTGACGGCGCACACGGAGAGTATTTCCTCGGTTCAGTAAATTTACGGGCACTCCTGATCGCGAATGCGTCTTTTTAGTCCAGTAAATGGGACGTTAAAGCAGGACCTTTCAAATCCCACGGGAAACCTTTCCCAGTCATTCATGAATAAAACATCCTGACCCGTATGCAGAGACTTCCTAACCGCACACTTTCGAACTGGTAATCTCCGGTTGCCATGAATTGGTCGTAAAAAGTGTGAAGTTGAGTAATGTGGATCAGGGAATGACCACTGCAGGATTTAATCGCAAAACGCAACGTAAACGAAGCGTAACTTACTGGTGTAATTTAACACATGAACAAATGAAATCCCTAACTGCGTAGTGCTGGGAGGAGCACAGATGGTTGCCAAACCTGACCAGAGACCGAAATACACTAGGACTACACGAGACTTTCTCCACAAACAGTGTTTACCGTGTCAAGATGAAAATGTGCCNNNNACGGAGGAACTCACAATTTTTGACAGCTCAGTCTTTCCATCCGGGCCTGGAATAGACCATCGTTCGGCCAGATGTCGTGAACCGTACAGTGAGTCGGAGTCAGACCAAGTTTTGAATGCCTCTTCACCGTCAAAAAATACCAGTTGGATGTTTAAGATAGGATTCTGGAATGAACACGAGACAATCGGATCGCAGTAAACAAGCAGACAATGGTGCGAAACGGTACTCGACATACAAAAGGATAGTCTTGTATGATGCGACACAAACGAAAGAGAGCACAACACGATCTATGAGGACTGAGCAAAACGTTTCCGGATACGCAATACGCAATGGGGCGGTGCGGGCCAAGTGGTTAGATCACCAACTAGTGACCTGAGTGTCCCGGGTTCAAACCGCTCCACCCCCGCCCGTCTCCCCTACATCTGTATTTTCCCCATGCAGCCTTTGTATGGCCGCAGTCCCCTTCCTGAAAGTTGACTGTACATTTGTATATTCAATAAATAGAAAAAGGAAGTAAAAAGACATTTTTTACACGTAGGAAGTGCAAATGACCGAGAAAGGAAAACGAGAAATGCATTCTATGGTGAATATTATTTAGTGATTTCAACTCACAGAACCAAATAACAACAGCTGATCACAGCTCACAAGTCATAAAGGTCGCCATACTCGGACTGTGAGGATGGAACTCAGTCGATATCACCGGAGGACTATGATTTTTTACAACTACAAATGTGCTTGAAAGCCACAGAAGTGTCCGTCTTTTGCGAGTTGCTTTTGGTGGTGACGCACCTTCAAGAAACACTGTGTTCCGAACTGTCAAGTGCTTGGAATCCGATATAAGTTACCAACAGCTGTAGTGGAGGCCCTCATTGAACTGGTTGAGGGGTTACCCGCTTCGGCATGGTCGAGCTGTTCCACCAAATGGTCTGAGCGCACGGAACTGCGCATGAACACTGCTGGAGGATAGTTCGATAAAATTTAATGCTTATTTTTGTGTAATAAATAAAACATTTTCTACATATGAAGAATTTTTGCTCAGCCCTTGTTAATAACAAGCGTTCACTGATGAACGGACTCAAAAATGTTGTTCGAGGGAACAAGCGGCATTTCGATAGGAACGCTGCGAAAATACTGATAGGTACCGGTCACGTGTTCTTGGGCTGAGGTTTACCGGAGGCAAAAGAACTCCGCTTTACGTGCTCTGTTTCCACCCTACGAGAAGAATACTCTGATAAACTAAGGAACTGTAGGTGGAATGTATCTCGCTGAAAACGTAGGCCCATATTTTGAGAATCAGAAGATTATGTGTGCAGCTAGAATTTAAGGCGTAGATGAACAAACGTTTTCCGAGGAGTTATTCTCAAATATTTGCAATCCCATTTCGTCACGGGTTTCGTAAAACGTGGGTAAGGGGAAGACGGTGATGTGGGTTCCATACACTTAGAGTAATTGGATGTTGATGAGAGATAGAAAAACAATGATGATCGCGTAGGACAAACACGTACTCACCAGCTAACCGTGATGACAATTTGCATTCGAGCCAACTGACACCATCACTATGACAACGAATGACATGATCCAAATTCGGTCAGGGGAATAGCAGTGCTTCGTGGGCGAACACAGATCAGACAGTCATATGTGAATGGCCTTGGCAGTCGCTAGTTCCTGAAGCCATAGTGTCCTGCTAGTGTAAGTTGAATGAAACAGGCCGTCAATTTAAGATCGTCTGGGAAACCTATCCCTACTGAGTGCATGATAATTGCACTAGAGATGCAATCCAGTTTCATCCGCGCCATAACAACCAGGGGTTGTGTACACTGATGCGTTAAAACAGTTGTGTTTAACACAAGTAGCACTCGAGGTGAACTTAAATTTGTAGACAAGCAAGAAAGAGAGAAACAGAGACAGCTTATCTTGGTTCTGGGATCGCATCACGAGGGAAGGGACAACCCGGTGAATAAATTATTGGTTGTGACACTGAGAATTCGCAGCGTCTCTAAGTTTTTTGTAGCCTTGATCAATAAACGCGTCCGGATGCCCGCTTACCAAAAAGTTTTACTTGTTAATTTCACTTCTTCGTTTAACACTTGAGAAACATGATCAAAAATATAGGTTCGCCTAAGCCTTGCGTTTTGGTTATGCAGGCATCATCACCACTATGCGCTTGGATTACAGTTACAGTTATCGTCAATGTCAATTAAAAGCTCTCTCAAGTTATTCTAGTAAAGTGATCACTGTCACTTGCGCACATAAAAAGGTGTGAACAGCGCATTGACATACGCACACACTTGTGATGATCCAGTAACAGAGAGATCAATAATTCTTAGAGTACTACCTAATCACCGAGGTGGGGAACCGCCAGCATTGGTGTAGTAAATCAAAAACAGAATGTGATGCTGGTGTTGCTTAGTTACGAATGCAGTCTTTAGTTATTCACTTTCTGGTAATCTTGTTTTCCGAAATTCGACTCACGAACATACAGCTTCGATTGAAGTATACTATGAATGGATAAACAAATGTCATGGGTACGGAAACAGCATGCTTGCAATGCTTCAAGACTTTGAACTAAAAGGACCGAATTGCAGTTGTCTTCTCAACCCTCAAAGTAGCTTTCGTTCGACACAGTACTGCTTCTTGGATGTCACATCCATGAAGCCCCCAGTCATCCCCTCGCGGGAGATAGTAGCATAGAAGTAAAAGTAAGGAATAAAGTTTTAGCGACCAGATGTTTTGTACTCTTTATCAATTTATGTAGAATCCAAAATTAGATATGCCTACCCATTCGGAAGAGCAAATAAAATGAATGAAGAAGTACACCTTACAAGGGTAAACGAATCAGTTCTGTCTTCAATGATTCTGTAAATTGATTTATCCGTAATACGAACTTCGGGAGCCCTGGCGAATAGTGGTGGCGGAAAATAAACACCACGCATAGTGCATGTGGTGTTTCGGCCCAGATCTTTAAAAACCACGTCTCCATGATCAACTTCGCCTGAGTATCACATGACTGAACCTGCCGCCGATGCAATCATGCATTCGAAGAAAAGTTTACTAGTTTGCTTTCTTTAGTTGAATTTATGCGGTTCAATTTAGTTGAGAAATTATTAAAATGTACAGCCGAGTAGTGCAGTAATCATTCTCGGTTTCTCTCTCACTCTCGGTGTCTGTGTGTATAAGATCTTTGATGGCAGCAAAACAAAAAATAATAAATATCCTCTTTTCGGGAGGAGTTCAACCTTCAACGATTGAACTCTTGGTCAACTATTTCTCCAATCGTCAGCAGTTCACACGCTACAAAGGTAGTACATCTTCACTGCTGCCCTCCTCAACAGGCGTACTGCAAGGCGCTATTTTATCCCCTTTTCTATTTTCTGCCTACATTTCCTTTATGCCTGTGAGCAATTATTTTCTTCCCGTTAAGTACGCAGCCGATATAATATTCGGACTGCCCTACCCCAACTCATCGTTTCAAACCACTCTACAAGAAAACGTGTCGGAAATAGTTGAGTGGTCTCAACAAAGGAACCTCCGCACGAACCCCCAAAAATGTAATGACGTAATTTTTTCCTTTTTGAAAGGGCAAAAGTATGATGAATTGTCAAATGCCAGCCCACCTTTATCTATCATCAGTGACCAGATAGAACCACAACCGTTTATCAAATAACTTGGTGTTATTTTCAACCGTAACCTCATTTGGTTTGATCACGTTAATGACGTTTTCTGACGGTCTGGAGGTTCACGTTTTATGTTTTACGTCTTAAATCACTTTCCATTTCAAACCATTTCGTAAAACGTTTTGTTTTTGCGTGCGTTTTGCCTTACTGACTTTATGGGTCTCCTGTTACCTTCCTTGGTTCTTTTAACAATGACCTTAAACTCATTTCCCGATCCCTCAAATTTCTGTCAGTTTGTAGTCTCATACCACGGGAACATCTGGTGCAGAATGCGGTGACACATCACATCAAGTCTTGTGAGACATTCTCCAACAAAATTTTATCTGATATTTCCCATCCTCTTTATTCCGCCCTTAGGCAGGGCATTTCTCACTCATCTGCCCGTTCCACTCACAAACTTATAGTGTCACGCACTGAAGCTTATAGGCGGTCTATTGTCCCTTATCTCGCCAGATTTCTAAAAAACCATGAACTCGTTGCAGGAAATCTGCGCAAAACGCTAAACTAAATCAATCATAAACACTCGGGTATGCCATTGGTTTTTGATGTTGCTGTCCTTTCTGACGCCCCTAACTGCTGTATTATATTGTTTTTTCCACTTTTTGTTGACACACTGTGATTATGTGGTTGCTGAATCCATCTCTCGAGGTGTATAAAGCCATTCCTTGACTTGACTTGAGCAAACATAAGAACGGCAGTGCTCCTATTCACGATGCAACGCGACGAACAAACTCGTTTTTGTTTATCCGAAATCATGCTAATACATACACTTAAAAACAATTACCGAACAAGAGGATGAGAAATTACATTTCCAAGTTCCATACGAAATTGGCCATGGCAAATACGATATTCATTTTTTTCGATGGGCGTTTATTCAACTTGGAATATCCCAAGCCATAGCTAACAATGGTGATGAGAAATTTTGTAAACATTACCACTGTCTCGAGGTTACCAAGCCATTCAGGAAAGAGATTCCATATTGAATACCTGAAGTGCGAAATCGTCTAGTGTTTCCAACGACAGGGACATGAAAGACCGGCTGAAACGCGTCGCATACACCCAATCGATAGCAGATAAGCAAGTTTTGCGGATAAGTGGGACAGTAAAACTTATTCGACCGGAACAAACTGATTGATGAGTTCCTATCAGATCCGAAGAGATATGTCTGTGAGCTCGCATGATACATTGATAGAAGTGCGATCCCCAGGATCTCAACTATGTTGTCAAACTATACGCAGTTGGATATGGAGGCTGAGAGTTTATTCAACCAGCTTTCTTAAGTGGCACAATCTTCCTCCCCGCTAGTTAGAGAAACTGAAATTCAAACTTGTGAACTCATATTATCACTATGACGACTGTGGGTCACGAATGAAAGATTCATAGAAGTTGGAGCAACGGACGCGTTTGAAAAAAAAACTATGAACCAGTAGACAATCGATGCGATCAAGATCAGATCCGGGTACGGATATTGTGGCGAAGTCTGATGGAACAGAAGATGAACACTATAAAAAAGAACCATTCCGAGTTAAAAAAAACAACTGAAAATGAACGATTTAGATGGACAATGGGTTTACACAAAATAACGATATCTGAAGCAAAATGGGGTGCCGATGCGCCAACGTTCGAGCGAATACGACCAAAGGATGCAACAATTCATAAATGACATGGCATTCCCGAACTATACACAAGGTGCGTTTCTGTGAGACCGATTTCGGATAAGTGGAACTCCCTGTACCAGGTAGTGGTAAACTGGTTAGCCAGTTTACTGGAACCAATAAAGGTCACAATTTGCGGACACCACGACAGCGTTCACCCTAGGGAAAATTTGACGGACCTGAATCTCGAAGATAAAACAGATGCTATCGCTTGACTTTATGTCAGTGTTCAGAATCGTAGCAAATAATGCTATCAGTAGTCAAATGTGCGAATTTATTCCAGAGAACAAAGTTAACGTGGGTTTTTCCTTGGATGAGCTGAAACAATTACTATTCGTATGCAGGAGAAACATGCAGTTTTAATTCAACAGAACGAATTCTACGCTGCACCAACAAAAACTGTAATCATGCCCATACCAAATGTGTGGTACAATGAGAGACACAAAGTGTCAGATTCTGCAGCATTCTTCGGTGTCTACTCAGTCAGTTGTTCCTGTAAGGGGCTAGGTAACTTGGACGAAAGACCATGCTCGTGAACATCGCCAGATTTATTTGAGCACCGGAACCATTAGGGAGATAACGAGTGCGGTGTGTTCACAACTCGTTAGATTGAATCGCAAAGTGGACGTGGGAAACGCATTTCAACCCATTTACAAAGTTTGATAGGGAGAAAAAAAGCAGTGAAGCATTCCGTCTTGGCCATGATCAAAAGCCAAAAGCCAAAAGCAATAAGATTTACCACCCTCCCCTGTGTGCCTAAAAAAATTTGTGTAAGCACCGGGTCACCCCTGATCCATTCCATCTTCCTAAAACTGTGTGCAACCGCGTGGACACTTGACACGAATCAGTTTTACATACACACACGTTTGAATTCGAATCTGAATCATTTGGACAGCAGTTTGTCATCAGCCTTTTGACGACGTTAGTTATATTCAATGAATGCTATCTATTGCTGTGATTACAAATAACATAAAATGACTTTGTCCTCCATATTTTGCTGGTCGGAATGTGTTCAGTGGTATTATTCAAACAGTATTTCTATTAAATCATTTGTCTTATTATTGTGTATAATCGTGCGCTTTGAGAGCATGATGGATGACAAAATCAATATGTCGAAATGCTTGAGCCTAAAATTAGGCTACACGTTGTGGATTTGTTTAACACAAGCGTATTGCGATGTAACTGGTAAACTGTCTCGCTGATGTGACGAATAGCTGATATTGACCCTGTATGTGTGGTAAATTTAGCATATTGTTGTGTTTATTTCTTAGGGAATATCGATTGTGTCATAACATTCAAGTCAATTCTATTGATCATTCATGGAAAAATACTATTTCCCTTCAACAGGAAACGTTTTATATAATTTTCACAAGTGCGTAAATCCATATGGAATGAAAAACTCTGCGTTGCTACTTCATTACGTGGCAAATAAAGGTTGTTGCTTTTAGAAACACTTAAACGATGTCGGGTACTGATAACAAAACGGACATTTTTCGATTCCTGTTTAGTCAAAAATTGGAGTTGATCTGGAGCATCTAACATACTACTGACAATACTGTGCCGAAAAAATGCAAGGATAAATGCTGCAGGATAACATAACTAGTACCGGGTGAAAGCGATAATCAATGCCAGTCTGCACGTTCAAATACTCCGCAGGACAATGCATTCGCCAAGGGCTGAAAACCGCTCGAGTTAGTCGCACAGAAAATAGAAACTGCTAGCAAGAATCGAAGGGTGATTAAAGATAATTTATCAACTAACGCACCAATCCACCAAACGCATGCGCTTTTTCCACTCATTGTAGTTACAAGCGCTTTCAACAAGGCCCCGGAAACCTCACACTATACGGGCACAAAAGTCAATCAATGCCGAATTAGACTGCACCTACTTTCTGGTTAGCGATTGAATTAGTCAAAATATCGGCCAACTTCAGAAGAATGGCACAGGGCATAGCAGAATCGGACGAGCCAACGAAATCCGGCGCGGACAAAGAATCGTAATGGCAGGCGAGCAGAATATTC